GCGCCCTTTCAGCCGTGGGGCGTTATAACGTGACGGTCGATCCCACTATGCGTTGATAAAATAGTAGCCCAATAGTTGGCGGTGGGTGGTGATGACTAGCTGCCTTCCCTCTAGTCTCACACTGCTAAATTAGGGATGGCTAGCGGAGATAGCCTTCGTGTAGCTTTGCTCGAAATTCAAAACAAACATTATTAGTATTGCTATCGCACTAATATTATGTGTGTGATTCACTTACAATTGTGGCGCGAGCTACCGTAATCGTTTAGTCTTCTTTCCTCAAACTATCCTCTGTTCCTTTTGTCGAAGTGCACTCAGACTGATTCAATTACTTTAGGACCACACATTGACGAAATAAATAATTCTTCTTATCTCCTTTTCTATTGTTAGTCTTACTCTAACATATTAAACGTCAGACCTATCACTTCTACGATAGTTAACTTCACGCCGAACTTTTCCTTGCCCGTAACTTTACTCTCTTCTACTATTGTCTGTCTACTGTTTCCGCTCGCCGTCTTCTAAAAATCTCTATATTCTCGACGTCATGGTATTGCACGCGACGTTCAATAGTCTCAACATCAATGACTTATAAACACAACTTCCTACAATCGTCTGCTTTTAATTCTTATTATAACAAAACTAAACAATAATAAAACATTCATTCACAAAAATAAATTAATCAATAATATCTAAACTAAACAGTCTTTTATATTATGACATTTATACAGATAGATAGAGGTGAACATCATGAAAGTTTCTTAGTAGAAATGCACTTGGAAGAGCATGAATACGATTAGTAGAAATACGAGTAAGAGAAATGAAGGGTAGTTTGTGGAAACTCTTAAGAGCGTCATGCTCCCATTCAATAAAACTATATGGTTAGCAAGTACACGACATCAAATTGTTATAATAGTAAATTTTAAAGATATAGAAGAGAACCAGCATGTAACATCCGGTAGCAAATGTGTATTGATAAATATAATCTTGGCACAGTATCAGCATTGAAGAAGATTTAACGTCCTTTATTTGTTCAGATAAGAAACTTATTGTGAATCATCTAAGCTTATCCTGGCTCACCTGGCGTTTTCTTGGTGTCAGACATTGCCTGAGACCAGATAACTTAGGTGTCTACTGAGTAAATTACATATAAAGATGGATTTTCCAGATAAGTTATTTTGTTCTGTTACGACTTCAGTAAGCAGCTTAGAGAAACAAAAATGAAATACGTTATACTGATATGCCTTCTTGGTCTAACAGTCCAAATTTATGGTGAGATTTTGTTTTGTATTTTATCGTACAGTTACAAGATTTGCCGTTTTGTTTAAATATTACAACAACAGCTGTACTCTACTAGTCTGTATGAATACATCATGGATTACCGTCATGGCTACATATTACAAAGATTAATTGGTTTTCCTCATAAATGACAAGCGCAAACAATGTAAGCATAAGAACGGCATTTTTTTATATTTTTTTTTTGTATTTGTATTTTATACATACAGAACCTGGATTACATATGCTGCGCCTTTACTTAGCCCTCTCTCTTTGTAAATCTAGCAGAAACCGTTACATCTCTCAGATACAACAAACCGTTAACTTTATCTATTCTATGAGCCGCTATGTCGCAGCTAAAGATCTCCACCTTTTTTTATTAGCTATATTTTTGTGCGCCAACAATACAACTCATGTGCCCACGTATACCCTATTCGATTTTATTATTCATCAGGATTTCTACCAGCTTACCCTCAAATTGAAATTCGATTAGGCAGGATTAGAGTAAATTAATCTATGAGATCTTGGGTGTGATCAAATACATCAATTGAAAGAGTCCAAAACTGTAATTACATCTTAAATTAGTTAAGAGATGACGGGGCTATTATTATTATTCATTTTACAAGATTACAGACATGTAGGATAAGCAACCAAAAACACACACACATAAAATGTTTCACACAATCATTAATCCAAATGTAGAAAAATATTTGAAAACATAATTTGAATAATCTGAAACTAGGAGTAGTCCAAATGTTTTGGTTCATTCGATTTAGAATAACAGGAGCCAAGTAGTAAAAGTACTTTGAACTTTGAGCTGATGCAATTCTTCGACAGAAAATTTTATTATGATGACGCAGAGAGTAAGGGCTTTCTCTGGAAAGAATTAACAATTTTAGTTCAGGATTAAACGTCTTGATATCTTTGGCAACACAGATGATTCGGTATAAACAGGCGTGGTAAATGGTGAAAAGACCACATTCCTTGAATTTGTTTATAATAGTTGAACGGTAAGGAAGTCCCAGTATGAGCCTCAAAACCCGCTTTTGTAACATCCACATGGGTCTCAAAGCACCAATATGTGTACCCCATATACTTAAACAGTAAGTCATTTGACTATAAAAGACGGAATAATAAATCTGATAATAAATCACCCATAAAATAAAATTTTTCTTACATCTCTTCATGATGTAAATAGCTCTTCCAAGTTTATTTGAAACCATTAAAATATGTTCACCCGATCTAAGGTTTCTTTGAATAATCACTCCAAGAATCTTCAGTGAATCAAGTTTGGGTAGTAGCATACCATTAAAAGTCAAATTCTCATTTATCGGTTTTCTAGATATAATCATATATTGTAATTTACTAATATTTAAAGCCAGGCAGTTGTCAATAAGTCAAGCTTTAATAGACATCAATACCTTGTTCCTAATTCTAAAACAATCCGTAAGATAATATGAGTCGTGTCATCGGTGTACAAATAACAAGTGTCACTTGGACATACTGTGAGTAAATCGTTCATACAAGTCATAAACAAAAGGGAGCCAAGAATTGAACCTTGAGGAACTCCACAGTGAAGACTACCGAAAACGGATTTTGTACCGTTAGTTGTGTTGTAACATTGCCTGTTATTCAAATACGTTTTTAGAATGTTGTATATATATTGCCTCGTAAGCCATAATAAGCACATTAATACAGCAAAATTGAATGATTTACACTGTCAAATGCCTTTTCAATATCTGGGCTACAAATCACAATAGATCTCTTTGCTTCGTAGACCTTAATAACCTTTGTAGTGATTGCCAATACACACTTTTCGGTAGACTGGTGTTTGCTAATTGCAAGTTTCTTAGTATGTTGTATGTATGAAAAAACTTGATGATTCAATTATACAAAATACCCTCGACAATACGAGCAAATGCAGACACGATGGATATAGGCCGATAATTTTCGACCGGTCAGGATCACCACTTTTGTAGATAGGAGAACACTTGGAAATTTGCCAGTAGCACATACATTGTTTACAAGTATAGTTAAAGGGTCAGCAATGGGATCACATGTAGATTTTACCATTGAGGGTAATACATATATCATCCCATCCGGCTGAGGAGTCATTTGATAGTGCCTTCATGGCTACACGAATTTAGTTGTGGTTACAGGAAAACAATAAAGAGACTGAGCTACAGGCTGATCCTCACATTTGATATTATTAGTTGCGATACCTTGTCTTGATAAATATTCGTTAAAAGTATTAACAATGTTAGTAGGATCAGTAACAATAGATCCCAAGTTGTTATTAATACTTGTAATCTTAGCTTTACTGTTGGTCCTACTCATTTGTTTATTAATCGTTTGCCATGTGCGACGAGTATACCCATTTTAAAAACTTTGTTAAAATATCTGACCTTGTTATCAGAAACTTGACCTTTAACAAGCACTTTAAACTCTAAATATTTATTGTAAGTCAACAAATTACCAGTTTGTTTGAAACGACGATACAGTCGTTGTTTGTGCCCAATGATACGTAATAAAAATACGGCCATCCATGGAAGATATCTCACATTATTTAATTTAACAATATTGGTAAATGAAAGCATGAATTATAGAACATGTAATACTTCTCGCCAAATGAAGAAAAAGCCGAATCTACGTTAGATTCCCCGTGTATTATAGAGTTCCAATTAAAATTATTCAAAACACAAGTGAAACTGTTAAGTGTGTCATCATTTACCACTCTTTTCATGAATGTTAATAAACTTAGGCGGAATATCAGAGTCAACCATGGATAAAAATAACATATAATGATCCGAGATGTCATAACATATTACATCAGAAACAACATCAGCAAAATTTGTAAAAATATTATCATTTGTAGACACAGCTGCACCAATGACACTAGCAGGTTGATAAATACATGGTTTAGCATTTATAACAGACATCAAATTATTTAATTCAAAGAGACGATTTCGATCTGCAATTGTTTGGGTATGCTTTACAAAATTCACATTAAAGTCGCCCCCCCAAAAAACGCGGAGTTATCAAAATTTATACTGTCTACTAGTAAACCAAGTACTAGTAAAATCGTCCCAGTTTCCAGAAGGTGAACGATAAATATAATAAAAAAGTGTGAATTTCATTAATAGTAAAACTAAACAAATCAATATGATAAATTACAATAACAGAGTTAATATTAAACTTATACTTTAAGCCAGGACGAGAATAAACGACAATGTCACCTTCATGCCAAGAGGGTCTGCCAAAAACGTCGATATTATAGTTTAATAATGGGGATGGAGTCTTATTATCACAACACCATGACTCAAGGTATATTAAGACATCAGGCACTAACTCACAACAAAATGATTGAATTAATACATCATCAATCTTATTCCTAATACTTCTGACATTTAAACATATCAATTAAGACATATTATTCACTGTGTATTCTATTCATAGGCTCCTCTTTACTCGGTTTTAAATTTATTCTAGGTTGAAAAAAAATATCAAACAATTACGTCCGCAGGCCAAAGCTCCAGTGAAAAAATTAGATGATAACCATTCAATCTCCATACAAAAGGACGTTGATCTTGTCATTCTTTCTGAACTCAGCTTCTCACAATTTTTAACATTAAAACCGTTCTTTTTCAAAAATATCTCAGTATCTGTCTCAATTGTGTTTAGAGCACATCTACCAAAATACAATCTTTTCCTACCACTATCACTCATTTTAATGCCACGAGTGACAATACTTCGTTGACGTGATTGTTTGCTTTTTTGTTTTGCACCATTACAGATTCTCCTTCCAGGTCGTCTTGAACATAATTGTCAATGGAAGAATATGTAAGGCTCTCATAATGGGAATTATATTCGATACTAATTCTATTTACGTCCTTCTTAAGTACATTATTCGATCTTTCGATGTAAATAGTACTAATAGGTTGATGTTTTGTCTTAACAGCATCAGCATAAGACCTTAAACTAGGAACGTTTGAGGAACTAACTTCCAAATCACTGTTTCTTGTTGACTCTGCAACTGCTACATTTCTACCATGTAAAGCAACTAACTACTGCTTGCATTCCTGTATTTCATTATAACACACTCTTACTTCCTCCTTGAACTGAATATTTACTGAGAATTAATTTCACTAATTCCGTCGAAATTTGTGTCGCCATATCTGGAAAGATGTATGGCGATTGGTCTTACACTTTGTACATTTCCATTTCTGATTTAGATCGCACATCATAGTAAAATCCTCAAAATTGATATTCACACACATAATATAATAGTTCAGCCCACATACATAACACGATATAACGGAATTTTCGACCTTATAGGGTTTGCCCACTGCAACTTTGGAGGAACATATTTCACATACGTCTGCAACAGTCGCCATTTTCGCTCTAAAAGTTTGTACTTGAAAAAACTCAGAGTTATTCTATGATCCGCTATGCCGCGGCTAATGACAGTAAAAATAAATAAACACGGTGAATAGTATAATATTTGAACAATAATGTAACATTATTTTCTAAGGTGGATATAAACACTTAAACACAGTGTTAACAAAGATCGGGCTGAAGATGATAGGTGATAGCATTTAAACTCATTGTTGTTTTGTAGAAATATTTTGGATAATTTTTTTTTCAAAAGTTTGGCTTTTCTCTTATATTTAAGCTTCAAATGTGATATTGTGTAACTTTTATTTAGTATTTGTTTCTACTTTCGTATTTTCTTCAGCTAATGACTGAAACCAGAATCTGGCCTATGTGATGC